TTTTTTTTGTACAGGCGAAGGCGGAGGGACTTTTGGCAAATGAATATTCCATTGAGTTATACCAAAGAGTGGGCGATTGTTATGGTTGGAAGGGTAGGATAACCACATTGGCGGCTTTACCCACGCTTTTTTTTGGGCACACCGTCACGAGAGTAGTTCTTTTTAAGTTAATACCATGAAGAAACCAGACTTGACAAGTCATTGATTCAATTTATTTCTACAGCTATTCTGGCATTGGTCCTTTGTCTGCAAGTGAGGAATGTGAAGACCACAACCGCTAGGAGATGTCCAAGACAGGAATTTGTTATATTATAACGGTGCCTGTACAGCTGAAGTCGACGGCAAAATTGTTTCTTCGCCGTCTTGTTAGTGATTGTTTAAATTCGGCGTAGGGTTAATTATGCCGAACTAAAGATGGATGGATGCCAACGAACTCTGGATTGACAAGATGAAATGACCCGTCTGAACACAAAATTTGAACCGTCCAAGAAAATAAAGTCATGGAATCCGATGACGGCGATACCATAAATTATGCTGCTTTCTTATAGGTGACAGGCCCATGGTTAACCATTTCTTCAGTGACTTATAGAGCCGGTGTCGGGTCACAGTACCTGCCAGTGGAGGTAATTGTATGATGTTAGTGAAGTGGGCTCCGCAGTTCCAGTCTTAGCCTTGCGCAATCCATCGACAAAAAAGTTGCTGGGGGCGAGATTACAGCTTCGTTTCTTTCTTATTCCATTTCTTAGGCTCTCCTGTCTGATTAGTCTATACAATCGAGGCGTCGAATAGAGGACCTGTAAGGCCAATTAGATTCAGAGTCAAATCGCCATCATGTCCTGTCGTTCACAGCTATTTCGCGCCCTCAGAGCGCCCGCCTCTGGTAGCAGGAGGACTGCTTCTTTGAGGGCCAATGCTCTCGGTAGAGGCCTCGTCCACTCCCAATCTTCTGCTCGATGCCTCTCGACCACAGCCGCGAGACTCGTTTCTCCCACGAGGGCTCAGCAGAACAAGCTGACGTCCGAGATGTACCCGCAACTCGAGCGCGACTCCCGCTTCGCTCAAGTAACGCCTGAACATGTCGCGCGCTTCAAGGAGATCTTGGGTAACAACCCCTCCGCCATCATCGACGGCATCAACAATGGAACCGGCGTAGACGCTGCCGACTTTGAGATGTACAACGAGGATTGGATGCACAAGTACAAGGGACAGTCCAAGCTGGTCTTGAGACCAGGCAACACTGAGGAAGTAAGCGCCGTCCTCAAGTACTGCAATGAACAGCGTCTGGCTGTTGTCCCCCAGGGTGGAAATACAGGCCTTGTCGGAGGCTCTGTTCCCGTTTTCGACGAGATCGTCATTAGCATGTCCCGCATGAACGAGATCCGCTCCTTTGACGAGGTCAGCGGCTCTCTCGTTATTGACGCTGGCTGTGTCCTTGAGGCCGTCGATACGTACCTTGCCAAAAAGGGTTATATCTTTCCTCTTGACCTCGGCGCCAAGGGCTCATGCCACGTCGGAGGAAACGTTGCCACAAACGCTGGCGGTCTGCGACTGCTCCGTTACGGCAGTTTGCACGGTACTGTGCTTGGTGTTGAGGCTGTTCTGCCTAACGGCACCATCATCAATGACTTGTGCACCCTGCGCAAGAACAACACTGGCTACGATATTAAGCAGCTCTTCATTGGCGCTGAGGGAACTTTGGGTATTATCACAAAGATCGCTATTCAGTGCCCGCAGCGATCTCCTGCGGTTAATGTTGCCGTCTTTGGCCTAGAGTCTTATGATAAGGCTCAGCTTGCTTTCCGTGAGGCTAAAAAGCAGCTGTCGGAGATCCTGTCCGCCTTCGAGCTGATGGACGGCCGCAGCCAGAGAATCGTGTCAGAGGTCAAGGGTCAGGATCATCCTCTCGAGGGCGAGTACCCTTTCTACTGCCTGATTGAGACAAGTGGCTCCAATGGAGAGCACGACTACGCGAAGCTCGAGGCTTTCCTCGAGGATGTCATGACTCGTGAGGTTATTGCTGATGGTGTCGTTGCCCAAGATGAAACACAACTTCGTAACTTGTGGGGTTGGCGTGAGGGCATCACCGAGTGTCTCGGCCATTGGGGTGGTACCTACAAGTACGATATCTCAATTCCCCTCGACGAGATGTACCAGCTCGTCGAGGATACGAAGGCTCGTATGACTGATGCTGGCCTGCTTGGTGACACACCCGACCACCCCGTTGTTGACGTTCTAGGCTATGGGCATATGGGAGACTCCAACTTGCATCTCAATATTCCCGTGCGCAGATATGATCCCGCCGTGGAGAAGGCTTTGGAGCCTTGGGTGTATGAGTGGATCCAGAAGCGTAATGGAAGCATCAGCGCTGAGCATGGATTGGGACTTGCAAAGAAGAAGTACATCGGCTACAGCCGAGACGACACCACGATTAATGTCATGAAGCAGATTAAGAACCTTTTTGATCCTGTAAGTTTCACCCCTTCATGCGTTCTTTCCCGTTCTCTTTTTCAGTCAGTTCCCGCGTCTGTTCCTGTCACACATGTCGTATATTCAGCCCTACAGGGTTTCCTGCGTTGTTTTTCTCTTGTCCGTTGCATTTTCCCCGACCTTAGGGCTGACATCTGACCCAGAATGGCATCATGAACCCCTACAAGTATATCTGATACCCTGGTCTCTTGGTTTCGTATCCGAGTGACAACATACATATGCATATCTTACCCCTTGCTCTGCAGCGTCATACAGTACGTACGGCTTGCTCAATTGATTCCACCTCCATAGTAGATCGTGGTTTCGACGGAGCGAATCACAATGCGCAGGCACATTGAATGATACCGCCCAAAACATGGTATGAGCAATGCTGCGCCGCACTGCGGCTGTAAGAGCCATGTGTTTACAACGTCAATAGCATCTGAGCATGAAAATGTACATTGGTTGGATGGGTATTTGGAAAAATTAACAAAGAATTTCGGTCAATAGAATAATGGTTGATCCATGGAGCGAAGACAGTTCCGGAATTTCTGAGCCTCTTGTTCACTATCAAGTCAAGGTTTTATGCGATAATAGATGCGCAAAAGCGTATTCACCAAAACAACTGCCAAGGCCTGTCCATGGTTCATCATCAGGAATATGTCGTATATGACTATGGCTGAATATCGGGTCAATAGTCAATGTATCAACCTCCCCGACGTCAATGTGTTGGCAGTGTCCCATTGCACCCTTCGCTGTCCTGTCTTTGATAGGAGGAATCTGAGTGTTAATTTCCCACGACAATTAGGAATCTGTCAGACTTACCCTCACCCTACGGCCTACACCAACAAGCAAGCTTCAGCTCTAATGAACCGACAACCAACGAGCAGCCACTACCACCCATCAACACAGACCTCCCTGTCAGCCTTATGGGGCGGGGACTGCAGACTGCTGCAGCTAAGAGACAACTTCTCCACACATGCCGATACGCTAGACCAAAAGTTCCTCTATCGATGAAGACCGCTCGGTTGCTTGTTTAAGCCATGTCACGAGCTTGTCCCAAAGTCCCCGCTATAGACCATCTCCCTCATCTGGGATCGTCACTCATGTCCAGGCCACTTGATTCCGCAGCACAGCCTGTTTCGTCATGCCCAGTCCTTGCAAGCTCAGGTTTGCGAGGCATGTTGTGTGGATACGTAAGCAGCCTGGCTTCCACCCAGCTTGGGCTGATTCCAAGTGTTTGGTTCGTCTTATTCGTTGTATAAGCTGGGTCTCGTTTACGACATGAAACCATCGCAGGTAGTTACTATGTAAGGAGACATCTTTGAATCTCCGAGGTGAAGGAGGTGACCCAACCTGCAGTAGATACTGAATAACCCAAGCCCTTATGCATGTGTGGAATAATGGACTTCTGTGATGTGTGGGGTGATAAACATAGAAGGGATGCCTCATTGCAACGAATGCCGGTAAGTGTCTAGTTGCAGCATCGTAGACGGCGTTGCCGAGATCCTGGTTGTAACCCAAACTGCTTAATTATAATTAAAGCTGCCTCGAACACAAGTTGCGACAACGACATACCTGATTCATGAATCCATTGTTTTTATTCAAGTCCTCGCCATGGTTGGTGTTCCTGGAAAATATAAAGGCTGCGAGACGTGCCGACGCAGGAGAGTCAAGGTTTGTTCTGTCATCCATTAATTGTGAATGTCCAAGTTGAATTAACAACAACCAGTGCAGCAATGAGAGGCCATACTGCCAGAAGTGCCTGGCTAGCGGAAGAGAATGTGAAGGATATGAGAGGGAACGAGTCTTCATCACCGGAACACCGCAGAACAAGGGTAGAGTGGCCTCTCATCCCAAGAAAGGTTCGTCTTCAAAGAAGCGAAGGTCACCACCATTCGAACAATCAACCAGAGCACGCGACATCACCCCAATCCAACCGCTTTCCTCAGCTTGGGAGGACCATACACGAATGTCCAGTCAAGGAGTCGAATACTCAGTTCTCGTTTCGGCCTTGAACATCAAACTCCCACATATATTGCCAGACAAGTCAACGGAGGATGAGTCTGCGCCTTTCCACATCACGTTCCCGCCATATACACCGAATGAGCTGCAACCCTGGGTGGGCGAGGGAGACCTCGATGTTAGGGCACAATGCTTAGCAAGACTACCAGATGTCCATGAACAAGATGACTCGGAACAGAATTACTGCGTCTTCTTCTTTGAGGTTGGTGCAGAAACCGTCGAATATAGTCTCGATCAAACCATCACTGACACCAGTTAGCATGAAACGGCATATGCATTCGGCGAATCTGGATCTAATCAGGTAAAAAGGTTGGGTCCGGCTTACTTTGCCCATTTTCCCAATCACCACTTTTTCGTCCGGATATATCGGCCTCTAGCCGTAAGTAGTGCTCGAAGCTGTCACTTCTCTTGTACTGAGTGAAAACAAGACAGGGTTTGCTCTTCTCAGGCGACAGGATACCTTTGTATCGTCCAATGACTGGAAAACAATTCCGTGGCAAAGACACCCAAAATCTCTCCTGGATAGCCTCTTGGATCACGCACTTTTCTTGCCAGCTATATTTGCACAGGTCGACCATATCATGCCATTGGACGCCACGCTCAGTCGTCGGCATCACGCTCAACAGCTGCTTCGAAATTGTCTTGCACTTGAAAGACACTTCAATGCTTGGTTCCAAATGGCGAACCGACCTAGCTACGAATGCCCCATGGCTTATTGGGCTGACGAGATCATAAGCCCTGGCGGTCTCATTCCGTTCTCGAATTTGTATACCTTCAAAGATGGCAACACGGGCCTTGCATTCCTATATTATTGGATGACGAAAATACTTTTTCATCAATGTATTGAGACCCTGCATCGGATCATATACCAGCCGGTTGTTGATGTATATCCGGGTACATGGGTCGACTTGCCGTACGACCTGCAGATCGATATCACTCTCTACCAGCAAGGACGTCTCTTTGCTGCAGACATCTGCCGTGGGCTGGATTCGGTCCTCCATGAGATAGCCCAGCCTGACATGCTGATCATGCCGATGAAAGTAGCAATGGATCTATACAGAGATATCCATACGACTTCGCAGGATGGCCTGATGGAGATAATGTGGATTGATAACTTCCGATCGCGATTAGCTGAGAAAGGGCAGCATGTCGCTGGCATTTTGCAAAGCCAAAAGTGGTCCGAAGTTGCGACTTTCTGAACAAGATAACGTCGATATGTTCTTCAAAGCTATACTCCTGAAACTCCATCGCTCCTTTGCATTTTCATATTCGCCATGTCGCGGGACTGACAATAGAATCGTTCCCTTAGAATAGTTTGAGATGCCTGGTAGGTTATAAAAAGGAGGACGGACTGGGAGACTTGTGCCAGATATTGGGGCCAGAATGTCGTAAGATATGATAAAATATAATGGAACAAAAAGATTTGCTAAGCTATAGAGCCGTGATCTATCGGTGACCTGATCATATTGTCCGGGGTAGAAAAAGTAGTTGCCAAGATATTCATATGAATTCATGAACGTGTATATGGATGAGAGATGTACAGTGCGTAGACTGGTGCGCAGCTCTGTACACACCGTGACGGATATCGGAAGATAGCTATTCCGGCATGGTTGCTGTCCGCTGGGGAGCTCCAGCTCTCAGCCTTCCTGTCCGCAGGTAACTGGCAGGCTGCCGTTCTGACGAAGCTTAGCACCCCAGCACATCAACGTCAACACTCATCGACCAAATCTAGCACCAACCCCTCGATTCGCTTTCACCACACGAATAAAGCATTACGAATTACTCTCAAGCACGGAATCCTCGAAACCAACCCATTCTAAACCTTCACCATGGCTTCCGGATACGACAGAGCTCTGTCGGGTGAGTTCCAATAGCGTCCTACGGTTAATGATACATCGCTAACTAGAGATCCAGTCTTCAGGTTGGTTTCATAGTAAAACTCCACGCGAAGCTCCCTAACATGCTATCAGTCCCGACGGTCACGTTTTCCAAGTCGAATATGCTGGTGAAGCTGTCAAGCGAGGTGTGTTACAGGTCGTTGACTGATATCATTATCGCAGTGGCTTATACTCTTGATAGGTACATGTGCTGTCGGTGTCAAAGGTACCGATGTTGTCGTGCTAGGATGTGAGAAGCGCTCTGCTATGAAGCTTCAAGATACTCGCATTACGCCTTCCAAAATCCAACTTCTCGACCACCACGTTGCTCTCGCCTTCGCTGGTCTAAACGCAGACGCTCGTATCCTTGTCGACAAGGCGCGGTTAGAGGCACAGTCCCACCGTCTCTCCGTCGAAGACCCTGTCACCATCGATTACATCACCAAATATGTCGCCGGTGTTCAGCAGCGATACACACAAGCTGGTGGTGTCCGACCATTCGGTATTAGCACCCTGATTGTCGGTTTTGACCACGGCAGCGACGTCCCCCGACTCTACCAGACCGAGCCTTCTGGTATCTACTCCGCATGGTAAGACACTTGGGAATTTCTAAGTCGAATTCGACAAGCTGACTCTTTCACAGGAAAGCAAATGCCATCGGACGTTCAAGCAAGACCGTTCGTGAGTTCCTCGAGCGAAACTACAAAGAGGATATGAACCGAGAGGCAACCATTCGACTGGCAATCAAGTCGCTGCTTGAGGTTGTCCAAACTGGGGCAAAGAACATCGAGATCTCTTTGATGGCGCCAGGTGCTACTATTGAGACACTTCCCACATCAGAGATCGAAGGTTACGTCAAGGAGATCGAGCAGGAGAAGCAGGAAGAGGCTGCTAAGAAGAAGACGGGCCGGACCCCTGGCACTGGAAGTGCTGCCATCCTAACCAGATCTCAGGATGATTCTGCTGCGGAATAAAGAGACATATGGGGAAGGGACACATAGACAAGTGCATTGGGTCTCTAGAATCAGTGCCCAGTGCCATTGTATTAACATAAGTAATGACGGGATGCATTCTATCTTTGTTCCCCACGTAAGTGACAACTCGCTATGTACCCTGAACGCCGTGAGTTTTGCCCTATTGTCTAGTCTCCAATTATCCTAGCTTGTCGGCATCGTCTGACGGGTCAAAGATAGACCTAATTCCTCTGGTCTTTTGTCTCTCATCCTTAAGCATCTTGTTGTCCATTCGCACGTCTTCGCTTTCGATTGACAGGGCCGCCTGGGGGGTTTTCGCCTCGATGACAAAGTGGTTATCGCAGTGGGGACAGAACTCGTCGGCTTCTTCAAACTCCTTAATGTCCTTTCGGAAACACTTCCTGCACTTCTTGCAAGCGAAGATCATTTCGAAGCTTTCCTTGAGAGGGTGGTTCTCTTGTTCACCGTGGCACTCAACGCAGTCAAACCATTTTCTGCCTGATTACAAAATTAGCTTCCAAAATCTTAGAGGGCACCGAGAAGTTGCGAGCGTCAACTTCGCCAACGTTCAACGTACAGCATGGAGATCGGACGGCGACCTGCGCGTTGAGAATATGTTTGCTAGATAATCATCAGTTTTAATTCACACACTGGCATAGAGTCTTTATCTTACCACATGTTTGCAAATGAAAAGAACTGGCCTTGAGCTTCTGAAAGGGTTCTTATGAATAATTCAGAATTGCGGTGACTGCAAATAGGCAGTTGTAACTCAAGTTTAGACGAAAGTTCGAGAGTTTTGGCGGGGTGTACTCTGTATTATTCAGACACTTTAAACTGCCTGGGCCCCTGACACGACGCTAAATCCGCAGCGCAGCGAGGCGAACTACCAGGCAGAGCATGTCCCCACCTAAAAATATTAGTCATCATAGTTCTGTGACGCTCATCATGAACGCCTGGGCGCATTCTTCCAAGCTTCAACTTTCCTGCTTCCCATATTCCTAATCCCCAACACGACAACTGCCACGACCATCAAACCGCCCGCCATCACGACAAATATGCCGCCCAAGAGGAAAGCTGGCGGCGCTGTGCAAGGCGGAGCGAAAGTCGGCCGGTCTTCGCGGATGTCAACGCCTGGTGCTGCAACGCCACGAACGATCGATAGCAATGATGAGGTGCCGGACGAGGATGAGGCACCTATTGACGAGGCTCTGGAACGTGACTTGAATAAAAACATAGATATATTTTCCCTGGATCGCTACCAGAAGAGACACGCGATTCGGGATCCTCTCCCACATATCTTTGGCGACCGTGATTTCTCCTACCTGGTATTAAAGAAGGACCACCAGAATCGACCTCTTTGGATTGATCCTCAGAAAGGTCGCATCATCTTGGAGAGTTTTAACCCTCTGGCGGAGCAAGCCCAAGATTTCTTGATCACAATCTCCGAGCCCCTGTCACGACCGACCTTCATGCACGAGTACGCTCTCACAACACACAGTCTGTACGCTGCCGTCTCCGTTGGACTTTCGCCAGAGGATATCATCAACACTTTAGACCGATTCCTTAAGACGCCTTTGCCAGATGAAATTCGAAACTTCATTACCAGCTGTACTCAGAGTTACGGCAAGGTGAAGTTGGTCCTCAAGAATACCAAGTACTACGTCGAAAGTCCCGACCCAAACATGCTCCAAACCCTTCTCAAGAACCCCAGGATCGGACCCTTACGTGTTCAAGGCACAGAAGAGATCACGACATCAGTGGCGCCTAAGATCGGTGGTCTTGTCATTCCTGGTACCCAGAATGCGGCAGGAGTGAAGCAGGCGAATGCTCTTGGCCAATCAGGCGAACAAGGCAAAGACGGACAGCCTGTCCAGGAGGGCGAGGTTTTTGCGACGCTTAATGAGGAAGATGATGAGGATCAGGAAGTGACGCATTCCTTCGAGATTGCAGATAAAGACGTCGAAACCGTACAAAAGGAATGCTTGAACCTGGGATACCCTGTCCTTGAAGAGTATGATTTCCGAAGAGATGAGGCAAATGCCAATCTGGATATCGATCTTAAACCAGGTACTCAAATTCGACCTTACCAGGAGAAGAGTCTCAGTAAGATGTTTGGTAACGGACGCGCGAAGAGTGGACTGATTGTCCTCCCTTGTGGTGCTGGAAAGACGCTGGTAGGCATCACAGCAGCCTGCACCATCAAGAAGGGCGTGATTGTTTTGTGCACAAGTTCCATGTCAGTTGTACAATGGCGAAACGAGTTCTTGAAGTGGTCCAACATTAACCCCGACGACATTGTCGCTTTCACCTCCGACTCCAAGAACAATGTCTTTACTGGAAGCACAGGTATCATTGTCACGACATATGCAATGGTCACACAATCCCGAGCTCGATCCTATGATGCGGAGAAGATGATGAAGTTCTTGACTGGTCGAGAATGGGGTCTTATGCTCCTGGACGAGGTGCACGTCGTGCCCGCCAACATTTTCAGAAAGGTGACTTCCTCGATCAAGACTCACTCTAAGCTCGGTCTTACGGCAACTCTTCTACGAGAAGATGACAAGATTTCGGATCTTAACTTCCTGATCGGGCCAAAGCTCTTCGAAGCCAACTGGATGGAGCTTTCAAAGCAAGGACACATCGCCAGAGTTCAGTGTGCCGAAGTCTGGTGCCCAATGCCTACCGAGTTTTACGACCAGTACCTCAAGGCACCGAGCCGAAAGAAGGGCCTACTCTATATCATGAATCCTCGAAAGTTCCAGGCTTGCCAATATCTCATCAACTATCACGAGTCGCGTGGAGATAAAATCATCGTTTTCTCAGACAATGTGTATGCTCTGAAGGCGTATGCTCTGAAGCTCCAGAAGGCATACATTTTCGGTGGTACCGGCCAAGCAGAACGTTTACAAGTGCTGGAGAACTTCCAGCACAACCCTAACGTCAACACTCTCTTCTTGTCCAAGATTGGAGATACATCTCTTGATTTACCCGAAGCGACGTGCCTCATTCAAATCTCTTCGCACTACGGTTCCCGTCGTCAAGAGGCGCAGCGTTTAGGTCGTATTCTTAGAGCCAAGCGACGTAATGACGAAGGTTTCAACGCCTTTTTCTACTCGCTAGTTTCAAAGGATACACAAGAAATGTACTTCTCCTCTAAGCGTCAAGCTTTCCTTGTTGATCAAGGATATGCCTTCAAGGTTATTACGCAGCTCGCCAACATCGAGAAGACTCCCGGTCTGGCATTTGCCGATGTCTCGGAGCGTCGGGAGCTATTGCAGAAGGTGCTTGTGGAGAATGAGAGTATGGAGGAGGATGACCCCAACGATGACATGTTTCATCAAGGCACCATGGGGCGCAAAAAGAAGAAGGGAGCACGACGAACGGCGGGTACCCTTGGTGAGCTCAGTGGTGGCCAGGACATGGCATACATCGAGCAAAACAAAAAGATGTCGACGAAGCGGAAGAAGGCGGACAGCAATGCCTTCTTCAAGAAGATTGGACGTGAGAATGCGAGACGCGCCGCAGCGCAGTAATAGAGAAGAAATTGGAAATCGGATAATAGAAGGGATGGGTGTATTATTGGACGGTATCGAAGCGAGCCTATATGCTCGGAGTTTGCGCGAAGTTATCAACGATCATGTTTTTTTTTTTTTTTTTTT